CTGTTATCACATTATACTTAATGCACTAAATAAAGGAGTAAAAATAACATACACAATAGATACATGAAACTCCCAAAATCACATTTCTAGTGAAACATTCTATAATAACAGTAAAGAAACACGCTACTCTCCTTACACTCTCTTCAATAGTACAGGCTCTGTTCTGGTAGGAGTTCTATAACGAGCAATGAGTCATACCTAGGCTACCTCTTAAGTAGAACTACATTTCACAAGAAACAAGTGTATTCAATTTTATCATTTAGTCTTTGTGGAACCAGTGTTTGTAGTTTAAAGATCCAAAAAGATTCTCTTTGCAGAAGGAGTTTTTTTACATCTGCATTAGGTCTGGGTAATATTTTTTCTAAAGCGCAAAATTTAAAGCTATGGTGTGTATGAGCTTTTTCATTGAAATGTACATATAGTGAAGAGTCAGTGGACCCATTCCTTATGCGTGAATGATGTTCATTTATCCTGGTTTTAAGGGGTCTAGTGGTCATTCAAACATATAATAGCTTGCAGGAGCATTCTAATAGGTAAATTACATTATCAGTGGAACATGTTGTTAAATGTTGCAAGGTAATCTTAATGTTAAGTGTTGGATGAGAGTATATTTTAATCTTGAGTGATTGTTGACAACAGTTACAGTGTCCACAGCTAGTGTGACCCCTAGTGGTAAGTTTGTGGGATGTAGTAGGAGAATTATATTCAGAATGGATCATAAGGTCCCTTAAATTTCTGGATCTTTTGTGTGCAATTATAGGTTTGTCTTTGCATCCAGGAATGTCCTGTAGTAAATGCCAATGTTTTGAAATAATCTTAGTGATTTTAGATGAATATTGTGTCAGTGTCAAAGGCCATATTATGCGGTTATTATGTTTTCTAGGGCGTTCCCGTAGTAACTCCCCTCTGTTGATGGAGTTAGCCTTACTCATGGCTGTGTTGAGTATCTTATTAGGATATCCTCTCTCTCTGAGTTGTTTTTTCAGGATACCTGCTGTAGATTCAAAATCCTTTTGTGTGCTAGAATTACGTTTCAGTCTTAAAAACTGAGAAAATGGTAAATTAGATTTAAGAGAAAAGTGATGAAAGCTGGAAAAATGTAAAATAGAATTCTTATCTGTAGGTTTGCTATAATTTTTAACTAATAGTTTCTGGCCATTTTTGAAAACCATGATGTCCAAAAAGTTAATATTAGTAGGGCTACAGTGATGTGTAAATTTCATGTGTTTATGTAGTGTATTGATCCAGCTGCAAAATAGGTCCGCTACTGGCTGTGATCTCACTACTATAAATATATCATCTAGATATCTTCCAAAATAAAGGATATCTGAAGAAAATGGATTCTTAGTAGTATTGAAAATGAATTTACTTTCTAAGTCTGCGACGAATAAGTTGGCTATAGCGGGTGCGAGTGGGCTGCCCATAGCGATTCTGAATGGGCAGCCTTTCTGCCTGGCCCCTGTGCCTTTCCGAGTTCGGAAAGGCACAGGGGGCAGGCAGAAAGGCTGCCCTCAAGGCAAGGCCGCGAGGGCAGCCCCCCCGCGCCCTCTTTGATGGCAGGGGAGCTATGCATCTCAGTAGCTACCAAATGCCAAGGTCTATTTTCCCCAAACTCAACTAGTATTCACATTTGGGCATATTGAGTTTTGGACCTAGATTTTGGACCTAGATTTAGTAAGTCTGCTAATGTCTCGTTCCACAACTTTTTCAAATGATTTTATCATCATATTATCCGTGCATAGCTCCCCTGCCATCAAAGAGGGCGCGGGGGGGCTGCCCTCACGGCCTTGCCATTTGGGCAGCCTTTCTGCCCGGCCCCCGTGCCTTTCCGAGTTCGGAAAGGCACAGGGGGCAGGCAGAAAGGCTGCCCTCAAGGCAAGGCCGCGAGGGCAGCCCCCCCGCGCCCTCTTTGATGGCAGGGGAGCTATGCATCTCAGTAGCTACCAAATGCCAAGGTCTATTTTCCCCAAACTCCACTAGTATTCACATTTGGGCATATTGAGTATCCGTGCCAAGCTAGGTTCATATCCATCATTGTTTGAGTCCATAGTGCTTTCTGGAGGTAGGTGAACCACAACTCCAAAACTCAACGTCAATGCCCACCAAACCCTTCTAGTATTTTCTGTTGCTCATGGGGATTTTGTGTGCCAAGTTTGGTCCAATTCCATCATTGGTGGAGTTCAGAATGTGCTTCGATTGCAGGTGAACTATAAATCTCAGCAACTGCAACTCCCAAATGTCAAGGTCTATTTTCCCCAAACTCCATCAGTGTTCACATTGGGGCATATTGAGTATCCGTGCCAAGTTTGGTCCAGATCCATAATTGTTTGAGTCTGCAATGTTCTCTGGATGCAGGTGAACTACAAGTCCAAAACTCAAGGTCACCCTTCCAGTATTTTTCGTTGGTCGTGGGAGTTCTGTGTGCCAAGTTTGGTACAATTCCATCATTGGTGGAGTTCAAAATGCTCTTTGATTGTAGGTGAACTATAAATCCCAGCAACTACAACTCCCAAATGACATAATCAATTCTCCCTCCAACCCCACCAGTATCCAAATTTGGGCATATTGGGTAAGGTAAGGTAAAAGTTTTCCCCTGATGTTAAGTCCAGTCGTGTCCAACTCTGGGAGTTGGTGCTCAATTTCTAGGCCAAAGAGCCAAGGTCATGTGGCTGACATGACGGCATGAAGCACTGTTGTTGGGTATTTGTGCCAAATTTGGTCCAGTGAATGAAAATACATCCTGCATTTCAGATATTTACATTATGATTCATAACAGTAACACAATTACCATTAGGAAGTAGCAATAATAATAATTTTATGGTTGGGGGTCACCACAACGTGAGGCGCTGTATTAAGGGGTCACGGCATTAGGAAGGTTGAGAACCACTGGTCTAGATCACTACCAAAAATCCACTTTCCCACCACCTCCTGAAATGTTTGAAAAGAATGTTGTCCCCCATGCTTAAAATATGCAAAGAATGCTATAGCCAACATTTGAATGCAAACTAATGTGATGAACACAGTGGCTTACCACATTTTAAGTGTAGCACTCAGTGGAGTTTAGTAAATGTGATGAAGTTGCAAGTCATGCAATTGCCTTTGCTGCCATTGGTAGAAGAGCCAAATGATGGATAAGAGCTCTTTCAAACTCCGTAGTCAGCACTATGACAACAGAAAATGATACAAGTAAATACTGCCTCCTTTCACCATGTGGCCTACATGTGTATAAACCACAAATCTACATAGGCAACCCATATCACCTCCCAATTGGAATTAAATCTTAATCCAAGTGTAAAGGATTGTCACACCTGCAAGATCTTATTTACACTGGACCTCATTTACAGTATTAAAGCACACTTCTGAGACGCCCCGATTTACAGTGGCCGAACATTGCAGCAATAATTTGAAGCAGAAACAAAAAGGAATGGGAGTATAAAAAGGCACTAAAGGCTAAAACAAGTGCAAGAGAAGTAGTAGTGAGGAAAGTCAAGTGGAAGGACGAGGTTTATTCCAATGCCTGAGATCCCAGCTTCTGTCTCTTGGCTTTGGACTCAGGTCTCAACATGTTGGGAGAACCTGACAACAATGTCTATTTGTCTCATACTATTTGCCCTGGCCTTGCTGCTGGATTACATGAAGCGGAAAAAGAAATGTAATCGCTGTCCACCGGGACCCGCCCCTCTGCCTTTCATTGGAAACATCCTCTGGTTTAATAGAAAAAATCCAAGTGAATCTTTCCTACAAGTAAGTAGTGGCTCCATCACTTCTGAAATCAAAGTGTGTTATAGATTACAGCATTAGCTAAGGTTTGGGAAGCAACAGATAAAGTTAAGTCTTAAAAGGTAAAGGTAAAAGTTTCCCCTAACATTAAGTCTAGTCCTGTCCGACTCTAGTGCTCATCTCCATTTCTAAGCCAAAGAGCCGACGTTGTCCATGGACACCTCCAAAGTCATGTGGCTAGCATGACTGCATGGAGCGCTGTTACCTTCCTGCCAAAGCAAAACCTATTGATCTACTCATATTTGCTTGTTTTCGAACTGTTAGGTTGGCAGAAGCTGGAACTAACAGTGGGAGCTCACCCAACTCCCCAGATTCAAAGCATCAGCCTTTCAGTCAGCATGTTCAGCAGCTCAGCAGTTTAACCTGCTGCACCACCAGAGGGTCCTAAAAGTTAAGTGTTACTGCACTAAAGTTTAGAAAGCTAATAATACATTTTTCATGACATAAAACTATTTCACTTGCCCCAGAAAGTAATAGCCAGTAAATACAGCAAAACATCTGTCAATAAACCTGTTAAATCAATATAACTCTCTCCCCTCCCCCTCTCTCTATTAGGTTTTGATTGGACTAGCTTTAAAAGTGGTAGCACAATGCAGATCCTGAGAAGTACTGTAGGCTTCTACTTCACAAGGGTCAGAGGTGCAGGATCCCCACAAACGAGAAAAGAATGCAGCTTTTAAAATGCTTTTTTAAAAAAATCCAAGAGGAAATTCCTTTAGAAATCCTTTGACCTCATCAGGCAGGTTAACCAGATGTACTTCCAGTGGGGCTCTGTTTTGCAAATGGAGACGAACCAGCATATGCCGCCGCGGTGGCAATATGGGAGACTTCCCATGTTGAATAGGGATCAACATGGGGAAGCCAGGCAGCAGACACTTCCCCCCATGGGATGGAGTAAAGGTGAAGTCGGACGAAGCAGGGCATGGGGTGATGGGTTCCCCATGCCCCCTGGCAAGCATCACGAGATTCACCATGATGTGTGACAATTCCAGCAGCTAACATGATAGTTCTTTAGGTCCTTCAGTGTGATTCTATGTGAACTTAATCTTCTACCAGCTATCACCTCCAGTGTGGAACTGTGGTGGCGCAATGGGTTAAACCCTTGTGCTGGCTGAACTGCTGACCTAAAGGTTAGTGGTTCAAATACACGAGATGGGGTGAACTCCCATCTGACAGCTCCAGCTTCTCATGTGAGGACATGAGAGAAGCCTCCCACAGGATGGTAAAGCATCCAGGTGTTCCCTGGGCAACGTCCTTGCAGACAGCCAATTCTCTCATACCAGAAGCGACTTGCAGTTTCTCAAGTTGCTTCTGACACACAGTTTCTGTCACTACATCCATGTTTTAGCAATGTTGCTTGGTGCAAGGGACATAAACGAAAATGCTCTGTCAAATAGAGTAAATCCACTTTTTTACTTTCTCAGGACCACTTAAAAGCCAAATTATCATTGTCTAACTCATCTCCCCAATTGCTCCTCTTTTGTCTAGTAAAAAGAAGCAGCAACAGGCTTATACCCAACCTAGACAACTGAGATCCTGGACACTTTTTGTATGAAATACAAGGGCAAGGAAATAGCTCTCTGTTTATATATCCCAAAAGGGACTTACAGTCTTTAACAGAATGTTGACCAAAAGAAGCAAGGCTACAAAAAAATTACGGTATATGAAACTGGCAGTGGTTCTCAACCTTCCTAATGATGTGACCCCTTAATAGAGTTCCTCATGTTGTGGTGACCCCCAACCATAAAATTATTTTTGTTGTTACTTCATAACTATAATTTTGGTACTTTTATCAATTGTAATGTAAATATCTGATATGCAGGATGTATTTTCATTCACTGGATGAAATTTGGCACAAATACTCAATATGCCCAAATTTGAATACCGGTGTAGTTGGGGGGAGGGTTGATTTGGGAGTTGTAGTTGCTGGGATTTATAGTTCACCTACAATCAAAGAGCATTCTGAACTCCACCAATGATGGAATTGAACTAAATTTGGCACATAGAACTCCCATGACCAACAGAAAATACTGTTAGGGTTTGGTGGGCATTGACCTTGAGTTTTGAAGTTGTAGTTCACCTACATCCAGAGAGCACTGAGGACTCAAACAATTATGGATCTGGACCAAACCTGGCATGAACACTCAATATGCCCAAATGTGAATACTGGTGGAGTTTGGGGAAAATAGATCTTGATATTTGGGAGTTGTAGTTGCTAGGATTTATAGTTAACCTACAATCAAAGAGCATTCTGAACCCCACCAGCGATAGAATTGGGCCAAACTTCCCACACAAAACCCCCATGAACCACAGAAAATACTGTGTTTTCTGATGGTCTTTAGTAACCCCTGTTGTTTACTATGCTTTAATTGTTTTAATTTGCTTAGGTTTTGTACTGTTATATTGTGTGTTGAGGCCTTGGCCTTTGTAAGCTGCATCGAGTCCTTCAGGAGATGCTAGCGGGGTACAAATAAAGTTAATAATAATAATAATAATAATAATAATAATAATAATAATAACTTGCAGTACCATTGTGATCCCCCCCCCCCCAGGGTTCTCGACCCCCAGGTTGAGAAACACTGCTGTAAAGGAAGGATACAGTAATCAAGATGAGACTGAAATAAAAGAGAAGGGAGAAGATTAAGAAATACATTCACACATATTAGTAGGAAAATGTGTATGTCGCGTATTTGAAAATAAAATCTGCTGGAAGGAGAGGGGGGAACTGGAACGAAAGTTCAGCCAATGCCCAATGAGACACGTGATCTCCTGAAACACACTAAGCAGATAATGGATGCTATTACTTTTCTCTTATTGTAGAATATTTGTTAATGAAGTGGAAGAGAAGAAAGAACAACAGTTTAATTTCTTTGCAGGGATAGCGGCGCAGTGAAGGGAGTTGGCTCTCTAGAAAAAGGGGGTGCTATTTGGGGTCTTTTCTTTTTCTTTTAATTTAATCTTGACAAGTTAGTCCTTAGCTGGTATTTATTTGGATTTTGTGTTATATATTTTGTTAATGGGGATTCTGTCTTTGCTTTATAATTTCTTCTTAATTCTAGACCCTCCCCATCCACTCGTTTTCTTATATATTGCAGGTGGAGAAAATGTTTGGACCCATCTTCTTAGTCCAGGCGGGCTGGCAAAACTTTGTTATAATAAATGGGTTCAAGTTAGTAAAGGAGGCACTGGGATCAAAAGCTGAGGACTTCATTGAGAGGCCGGCACTCCCATTATTATCTTTAGTAGGTCGTACAAAAAAGTATGAAGGTAAGTGACTTATTTGATCCCTTGAAGTATTTAAACTTCCCAGTTCTTTTTTTCTTTTCTTTTTTTTGAGAGCAAGAGAACTAGGAGAATAGTATAAGAACTGGCTTGTGCGTTTTTCAGGCTGTATTGCCATGTTCCAGAAGAATTATCTCCTGAACATCTGAGGATGCCTGCCATAGATGCAGGTGAAACGTCAAGAGAAAATGCTTCTGGAACATGGCCATACAGCCCAGAAAACTCACAACAACCCAGTGATTCCAGCCATGAAAGCTTTTGACAGTACAAGAACCCATCAGTGGAAGGAGAAAAGAAAAACTTAATTAAGCAGCTAGGAAAATGAGCCATGGTCCTAGATGTCTTTCTCTACACTAATGCATTAGGAATAAGCATGGTGGCCTTGTACAATATAACATAAAAAGCATCACTGAAACCTGGTGGGATAAGTCTCGCAACTGGAATGTAGTAATAGAGGGGTGTGATCTAATACAGAGAATTAAATAGGAAAAGAGGAGCAGTTGCATAATGTGTCAAGGATGTTTACACTTCTGAAGAAATCATGATTTAAATCCTGGGAGACAGGTTGAGAACATCTGGATAAAAGTTAATATGGAGAGAAACAAAAAGGATCTCCTTGTGGGGCAGTGCTACAGACCTCCAAGCCAGACTGAGGACTTGCATGATACCTTCTTGGAACACGTGACCACACATTCAGAAAGGAGAGGTGTAGTAATGGGAGTTTTTGTCAATGACCTGTACAAGGAATCCCTGCCACAGCTGCCAGTCATCTGTCTCAATGTCAGTCATTCTATGGTCATACACATTAATCAGTTCTGCAGAGGCAAAGCACAAAAATAGTCAAAGTTCAGCCCAGGGTTCAAACCACGCAATATCAACTAATCCAAACATTCCAAGGCGTAGTCAATCCAGCAAGAGTGACAGTTCAAGGCAAAAGTTCACCATCAGGGATTCAGACTGTGCAGTTCAAGAAAACTTGCTGCCAACAAAGAACCAGTCCAGCCTTCAGCTCTTTATAGCACTTTCCCAAGTGCTCTCACTGGTTGACCCAACCAACAAGATCTTCATTGTCCAGAAGGATGAAGGGGTGACAAAGGGATCGGCTATTTTAGATCTGATCCTAACCAATCATGATGACCTAGTTAAGGGATGGTGAGTTCCTTAGATGGGAGTGATTATGTTCTCCTATGGAAGTTGTGGTGGAATGAAAATCACTTGTAGTTCACGTTTTTACCAATCCACACACTGTCTTGCTAGAGAAAAGATATGTCATGCAGATAACCAGTGAAGAATAAAGTGTTTACTCTTTGTTATGCAGAGCAACATATATACAACATATGTGAACAGTTGCATTGACTCACACAATGTCCTTTGAGAGAGACTCAAATGGTCCTTAGAAGTCCATGTGAAGGATCTTCTTCCAGCAGCCAAGAAGCAAAAATACTAATTGTCCTGGCAAGCTCCTGCACAGAATACTTAAACGTGTAACTGTTGCCAAAACTCCCAGGCTCAGCTAACTTCTGGGCATAGCCCAACCCATCAGCTTTGTACTTTGCATTTTTCAGTTAACACACTCACCAATTGATTTTTACATGCTCCAACAGAAGTCAAGGATGCCAGACACACATTCTAGAAAATGGTTCTCAATCTTTGGGACCCCATGTGTTTTGGCCTACAACTCCCAGAAATCCTAGCCAGTTTACCAGCTCTTAGGATTTCTGGGAGTTGAAGACCAAAACATCTGGGAACCCACAGGCTGAGAACCACTGTTCTAGACTTTAAGAAGACTGATTTGTGGTTTTTAACTTTGAATGTGTTTTAATAGTTTTTAACTGTGTTTTTTAAATAGCAGTTATATTTAATTCTGTTTTAATGTTTGCACATTTGTATATTTTAAATTGTTTGCTAATGTTTTATGTTAAACGACTTTGAGTCTCCTTCGGATACATGATACATGATGATGATGTTTCAGCAAACTTAGGGAAATACTGTGTAAGGAATGCTACAAGTGAAGAAAGTTCATGATGGTTGAAAGTTTCTTAAAAGGGAGATATTGAAAGTACAATTTCAAACAGCTTCGATGTGGGGGGAAATGGAGGTGTCTAAAGACCTCACCAAATGGGCTAAAATCAAATACACTGGTTCCTCTCATTTTGCCACATGGAGCCCACCGGCTCCCATCCCATGACTTAGAGCTACTTCCAGTGGGGCTCCATGATGCAAATTGAGAGGAACCAGCACATGATACTGCCACGGCAACACACAAGGCTTCCTATGTTGCATAGGGATCAACAGGGAGAAGCCAGACAATGGATACCTCCCCCCTCCCTATGGAATCAGGTAAGGGGGAAGCAGAGCATGGGGTGACGGGTTTGTTGAAGTGATAATAAAAGTTGGATGGATTACAGCCATAAAGTAATTAGTTTATTTACATTATATACATGAACATAGCACACAGCAAGCACATCAGTACTCAAGCAGGAACATTGCGAAAAGATGGCGATTGCAGTCTCTTCTTATCAGTAAAGGCACACCTCTCAAATTCCATTCTGATTATTTAAGTCCGTTCTCATCAGAGGAAACAGGAAAACATTATACTGTCCTTCTAGGATAACCTAAACCTCTGTGGTCTGTTAACTCTACACATGCTAGGCAGCTTTACAAAACACTTAGTCACAGCTTTAAAACATACACTTTGAAATCTCCCAATAAATCAAAACACAGACTAACAGGGTTTCCCCCCACCCCATGCCAGGCACTGCCGAATTTGTCACAATCCAATGTGAAGAAGTCAAGATTGGTGTCTCAAGAACTTTAAACTGAGCTAAGATTTGAAACGTTATGCTCAAAAATGAGGAAAGGGGAAAATCATGAGGAACTGAAATGAATAGCCAGCACAAGAGGAAAATTGTTAAAAACAATTAAAAGACTTTTTTGTTAAGGAAAAATAAGGAAATGATAGGGTACTGTATGGTGAAGATGTTGGGTTGCCAACAGGGAACAGAGAAAAAGTAAAACACCTCAACACCTTCGTGTTGAGGTGTTTTACTTTTTCTCTGTTCCCTGTTCCCTGTTTCTTCCTGAAGGAAGAAAGCAAGGGCAACGGCTAAACTGGGTTGTTGTAAGTTTTTCGGGCTGTATGGCCATGTTCCAGAAGCATCCTTTCCTGACATTTCACCTGCATCTGTGGCAGGCATCCTCAGGCAGGCATCCTCTTTTGACCTCACAACCTCTGAGAATGCCTGCCACAGATGCAGGCGAAATGTCAGGAGAGAATGCTTTTAGAACATGGCCATACAGCCCAAAAAACTAACAACAACCCAGTGCTTCCGGCCATGAAAGCCTTCAACAATACATTCAACAGCAAAACTGCTCACAGGAATTCCATTCAGATACTAGTTCTTAAGGAATTGCACTGGCTGCCTGAGAACTTATTGGTGGGACCAAACTGTTTTCATCAGGGCTGTGCATATTTTATGGCTGTAATGTGCAAGTTTCAACCAGTTTAAAATCATTTATTTTTAAGAGGGAAACTAATTAATGTATTCTATATGTAACTTTCTAATTATTTGTGAGAGGAATTAAGAGCTGAATAATGAAGAGCTCAATAAAGAATTTTAAAAATATCATTTAGGCATCATTTTGGCAACTTCGCACAGTGGCTGGAAGGAGCAAAAGAGATTTTGTGTTTCCGCTCTTAAAAACTTTGGAATGGGGAAGAAAACACTTGAGAAGAAAGTGTGTGAAGAAGCTTGGTATTTGTGCTCTGAGCTGACATCTAAAGAAGGTATGTCTCATTCCTGAGGATCAAGTAAAGGCTGAGGACAATGATAGTGTTGTGCTTGGTATTGAGGGGAAATAATTCTGCTTCTTATTCCAGTCTATTGCGATATAAAGATACAAGGTATGTGAAAATGTCTTGATAACAAGTAAACTAAGTAACACTGAGACATTGGCCTAAGTTCTATTGTTTATCCCAACTACAGTAGTCAAATGAAATCAATGGTTAGGTGGTAGGTCAACATTATGTCATTTCTATTGATCCATCTATTTGATCTAACTACAATTTAACAATCTATATATCTGTCTGTCTTCTTTAGTACAGTGGCCTATCTTTCCCTCCACTGTGTATATTGAATGTGGGCTGCTCAGGATGAGTTATGTCACATGGGCCACCAGAATCGCCATGTGGCATGGTGAATCATGATGATGATGATGATGATGATGATGATGATGATAAAATTCTAATATAGTTGTCATTCTTGGCTCTTCTACAGGCTCTCCTTTTGACCCCAAAATTGCAATCTTTAAGGCAACTGGCAATATTATTAGCATATTAGCATTTGGCGATCGCTTTGAATACCATGATGAAACCTTCCTGAAGCTGATCCATGGGACAGAAGAAATACTGAAGGGTATAATGAGGATGGTGCCTGAGGTATCTTTCTGAGTTTGACCAGGGACATCTGGATTTTCAGTGCAAACAAGTGAATAAATGAATGAAAGAGACTTTATTTCTATGCCGCCGTATCTCTCCAGTGAGGACTCCAGGCGGCTTACAACATATAGAGAGGCAAACAATAAATGCCGTATAACAATACAAAATAATATAAGCCAAAAGATAAAACTCAATTTACATATGCAACAAAGTCAATCAGATAATTGAATACAGACTAACAACTATTATTTATTTATTTATTTATTTATTTATTTATTTATTTATTTATTTATACCCCGTCCTATCTCCTCATGAGGGACTCAGGGCGGCTTCCAAGATAGTAACAGGCAAACATTCAATTCAAACAAAATACCATAAAATTTTAAACAAAAGGTAATACTAAACATTGTTTAATGAGTTAAAATAAACAATTACATTAAATAATTATAATTAAAAATGATTTTAAAAAACAGCAGTGGTAAAGTGTCATATCAGTTCCCTTTCGTCTTCTCTCAGGCTTTTCCTGTTGATGCAGCCTAGAATGGCAATGGCCTTTTCAGCTGCAGCATCACACTGTTGGCTCATGTTTGGCTTGTGGTCAACTAAGACTCTTTTCATAGAATCCTCTAAAGGCCATCTTGTCCAACCCCCTTCTGCCTTCATGCTGGGAAAGCACAATCAAAGCATCCCTGACAGAAGGTCATCCAGCCTCAACAAGAACAACAACAACAAAAACAGAGTTGGAAGAGACAAAAAGAATAGAGTTGGAAGAGACAA